ACGTCAGAAGCTAGGTCATCAAGAGTAGATCTAGATCTGGGAAATGCAGAGAAGATGAAGGAAAGAATGGAACATGCAAAAGATGTACGAATGCAGAATAGGAACTCACAAATGGGGATGAAGCTGGAGTATATACCATCAAGCCACAGAGAAGGTAAGCTGGTAATACAGATTGAAGAAGAAGATGTGAATGAATTAAATGAGTATTGGGACAATGCTGTAATTGGGTATGTACTTGGGGATACACCATATGAGAAATCGATGGTGAATTACATTGAAACAATCTGGGACTTTGTAGATAAACCTCAAGTATTATATCATCAAGAGGGATATTATGTTTTCAGATTTGGGAAAAGGGAGGATAAGGAAGCTGTAATGCAGGCAGGGCCATATACTTATCATAATAAACCGTTGATTTTGCAAAATTGGGAAAGAGATTTTCACTTTGATCCTAAGTGTATTACAACTATACCATTATGGATACAATTGCCTAACTTATCAGTTGGATACTGGACAGCAGATGCATTAAGTAAGGTGGCAAGTGCTGTGGGAATGCCAATGTATACAGACAGATACACAGCTGATTTAGGGAAGATTTCATTTGCAAGAATGCTTGTGAAAGTGGACATTACAAAACCCTTGGTGGAGACAGTTGAAATCATTACTCCAACTTGTGTGAAGCAGCAGGAAATAGTGTATGAATGGAGGCCAAAATTTTGTTCTGAGTGCTTGCATTTGGGCATGAATTGATTGAATGCTGGAAGATGAATAAGAAAGAGGAGAATGAAGAATTCCAACTGCCTAGAAGAAGAAATAGAGGAAGAAGGAAGAGAATCATACAAGAGTGGAAACCAATGGAACAACAAGCACAAGAGGAGACAAATGAAATGGTCAATGTGATACAGGAGCAAGTAGAGAATGATCAGCAACCACATCACAGCCTAGCAGACCAAAGAGGAAAAAAGGTGATAAATACAAAGGAAAATGAAGAACAGACTTACTCCCTGAGCAATCAGAGAAGAAGTAAAGAAGCAAATAAATTTGCAGTGCTGAAAGAAATGTACCATGAAGGTGAACAGGGAGGAGGAATTGTGCAGGAGAGGGTATAACAACCACCATGATAATAAGCACATGGAACATAAGAGGGCTTAACAAGCCCTATAAGCAAAAAGAGCTGAACATCTTTTTGCAAAATAATAAGATTGATGTATTAGGATGTATGGAAACTAGAGTTAAAGAAAAAAAGTCAAAAAAATTCTGTACAAAATAGCAAAGGACCGGGGATACAGATGCAATTATGAGCAGGCAGAAAATGGTAGAATATGGGTGATTTGGAAACAAAACCTATCAGTGGATGTAGTGCAAGTTCATGAGCAATGTATTCACTGTAAGGTAACTGATGCAACAAATGGGAGGCAGATCATGTTGTCAGTGGTATATGCAAGGAACAAAGCTCAACAGAGAACTAGTTTATGGAAAGAACTGGAAGCAATGGGGGGTGTGATTCAAATGCCATGGATCATAAGTGGTGATTTTAATAATGTGCTATGTTCAGATGATAGACTGGACCAACCAGTCACTATGACTGAGATAAAGGATTTTAAAGAGTGTATTGATGCACTACAACTATCTCCTGTGAAGACAAAAGGCTGTTTCTACACTTGGTGCAACAAGAAACAAGCAACTGATAGAGTTTATAGCATAATAGATTGGGTTCTTGGAAATTTTGAGTGGATCAGAGACTATGGACATGTGGAAGCTGATTTTTTGGAACCTGGAATATCTGATCATTCCCCTATAGTGATCCAGATATGGCAAAGGAAGAATATGTATCACAGACCTTTTAAAATGTACATAGTAATAATGGAGCATAGTGAGTTCAAACCTATGGTTGTGGATGTATGGAAGCAGAGAAAGAACTGTGATCCCATGGAAAGAATATGGAGGAAACTACAGGATTTGAAGATGAAGTCAAAAGATTTGAATAAGGAAATGATGAGCTTTGAGAGAAGGCTGAACCAAACAAGACAAAAATTAGAATATGTTCAGAAGAGTCTGAAGATAAATCCATTATGTCAAGTCTTGATTGAGGAAGAAAAAGTGGTACTGCAGGAGTTAGAGAAGTGGAGCACAGTTGAGGAAAAGATATTGAGGCAAAGGTCGAGAGTGAATTGGATTGATTGTGGAGACTCAAACTCAAAGTATTTCTATGCTCAATTGAAGATGAGAGAAAGTAGGAATTCTATATCTTCTGTATATAATGCAGGAGGGATAAGAGTCACAGAACCAATAGAAATAGAGAAGGAATTTGTTGAATTCTTCAAGCAGCTCATGGGGACAGACACTGGGCTCAAACCTTGCCCAAATGCAAAGATCATCAAAGAAGGAGTGTGTTTGTCAATGAACCAACAACTGGAGTTAATCAAGGAAGTAACACATGAGGAAATAGATGAAGCAATCAAGGATATGCCAAATGACAAAGCACCAGGAGTGGATGGATTTCCAGTTGAATTTTTTAAGTTACACTGGCAAGAAGTCAGGAATGATGTATATGAGGCAGTGGGCTACTTTTTTAGAACAAGTAAAATGCAGAAAGCTTGGAATTGCACTGTAATAACACTGATTCCTAAAGGTTCAGCTCCTACAACAGTGAAGGACTATAGGCCAATAGCTTGTTCTACTACAGTGTATAAAGTTATGGCAAAGATTCTTACAAGAAGGATAAAAAAGGTGATTGACAGTCTTATTGGGAAAGAACAATCAGCATTTATAGAGGGGAGAAACATAGTGAATAATGTGTTGTTTAGTCATGAACTATTCAATGGGTACAACAGGAAAGGAGTATCACCAAGGTGCATCCTCAAAGTTGACCTCAAGAAAGCATATGACTCACTTGACTGGCATTTTCTAAGGCAGATGCTTACAGAGCTGGGACTTCCTTATAAGTGCATTGTTTGGATTATGGAGTCTGTGACAACAGTGTCATATTCATTGACACTCAATGGTGGGCTCACAAAACCTTTCCCTACTAGGAGAGGGATAAGGCAAGGAGACCCTATGTCTCCTTACCTATTTGTAATTGCAATGGAGTACTTGCAGAGGGAGATGAATACATTGAAAATACAGAAGGAGTTCAAATACCATCCTAAATGCAAGAAACTGGGAGTAACACATATATGTTTTGCTGACGATCTCTTAATGTTTTGCAGGGGGGACACAAAATCTATTCAAGCAATAAAGAATATTTTTGACAAGTTCTCAAAAGCATCAGGATTGCAAGCAAGTGTGGAGAAAAGCTTAATATATACGGTTGGGATTAATCAACAAGTGCAAGAAGAGAAAGTAGAAAGAGGAGAAATATTTTGAATTGCATAAGAAAGAGTGACAATGTGTCTCTCTAACCCCTTGTAAAGAAGTGAAATACTCAAAAAAGTCAAGAGAGTTGTGCCATAATGAATCAAAAGAAGTGCTTAAGGGAAGATTGAATCCACTTGAATAAAAACATATCCTACCCTTACCCAAAAGCCTTCATAATGACTCCACAAAAGCCCTGTAGGATCTTGAGTTGAAGGAAACCTACATTAGTGGATACTTACATAAGGGGCAAGCATATGGTACCTAGAGTCGGACTTGTGACCTTCTTCTTGAGAGAGATGAGTGAAACTCCATCAACCTCGATTTGTGTGTTAATACTCTAAAAGGTGAGGTTCGCTTAGGGAGAGTTGAGGATGTGTGAGTTTGGGTTCCACAATGACGAAAGTAATTGAGATAAGTTCTTTGATGAAATGTGTCAACTCTTGATGCTCTTGTGTCACACTTGATCCATGGTTGTTCAAAGTTTAAATGTGTTAATGATGCATTCGTATTGAGGGCAATTGTTAGTCCCAATTGATGCTTGTTAAGGTTACTTTCGGATAGCTGGAATTACTTGGATTTTCCTTTAAGGGGTGGGTCTTATTTTGCTTGCTTGAGGACAAGCAAAGGCTTAAGTGTGGGGTGTTGATGTTAGGCTAGAAACCCGTGTTGTAGCCATAGTATTACATGCCAATGACTGCATTTTTTACGTGCGTTTGAGTTCAAATGATAGTGAATTGCACTTAGTACGTGTTTTATGCCTTGCAGGAAGTGATCCTGAGCTCAAAAGTTAATTTGGAGCTAAATTGATCAATTTGGAGCTTTGAAGTTTGAGTAAAAGCCCAATACATTAAGCCGGGATCATGTTCGGAGGTCGTGTACCAAGTCCGAATGTTAAAAGAGGACAAAATAAGTTCACTCTGAGAAAATTACATTGCCGCGCCGCATGGGGCGCCGCAAGGCACGGCGCAGCAGTGTAAAATGCTGCCTGATGCGAAAAGTTGAGGCTGCTGATAAAATGCACTAACGCGCCGCATGGTGCGGCGCAGCCTGCGGCGCGGCTGTTCAACTTTTACAGAGCGAAGTCCTAGTTCGCGCAGAAAAGGTTTTTTTTCGTCTGGGCCTGACCCTACTTGGTATAAATACATGTAAAAACGCTATTTTGAGAGGTTGGATAGATTTGAGACATAGATTCGACCTAAGGAGGCAAGAACACATTGGGAGCAAGACGGGAAATTCTTTTACGAGTTTTTCCTTCCTCTTCCTTATTTTTATTGTTGGTTATGACTTTTAGTATTGTAGTTTTACATACTATTATGAATAGCTAATTCATTTTCTAGGGTTTTGATGGAACCTTTTGGGATGAATTGGTTGTTATATTAATATAGTTTTGAGTTAGTTTTTAATCTCTATTTGTTCAACAACGTTTTGATTTTGGTTAATTGAAAGGATCCTCAATTAGCCGTTCCTATTTATTATGTATCTGCTTGAGAGAGAGTGCATATTTAGGTAGTTGTTTGAACAACATCACTCCCGGAGTATAGGCGAGAGTCATAACCGAGGGTTTAGAGGTTGGATTAGAGATAACGATACCTCAGGTGCGATCTAAGTGAACTGTAATGTGAATCTAGCTAGCGTAGCTTGAGAGAGTGCGTCTAGTAAATTATCATAATTGCTTGAGAGAGATTTATGATAGCTGGAGAGTTCATGATTAATAGAGGCAACGAAGTCAAAGCTATAAGAAACATACAACTAATGAAATCAAAAATTGGGGAAATCACAACTCTAGACCTCCTTAATTTAGTCTCCAAACCTTTGTCTCGTTAGTTGACAATTTTACCGTTTTATAGTATTTTTTGGTTAATTAGTTAGATATAAAAAATCTTAATATTATAATTTAGAAATTGTTCAAACTTGTCTTCTTTGCGATATTGAACAATTACAACAAAACCTTAGTTCTCTGTGGGATTCGACCCCGGACTTTTAGACCGGATTATATTTGCAGCGACCGCTTATCCTTTTTAGGACTAGAGTTGGGCGTGATCAAATTTTGGCGCCGTTTTCGGGGAACTAACGGTGTAGTTGTAGCTGTATATATTGTTAGGTTACGAGTTTGAACTTTTATTTTGTTTTCTTTTGTTTTGTTTTTTTTTTGTATTTTTTTTATGACTGTTGATTTGAGAAACATGACATCTTGGAATTATGGGAATTTAGGTGTAGATAATTCTACTATTTATCTCCATACATATTGTAAAGGAAACCACCCGTGGCAAAATTTTCAAAACGTTCCTGAGAGCGAGTTATGTGCACCAACTCAATCTTATTTGTGGAATGTGTGTGATATGTGTGGTGGTAAAAATGGTCACCTTCATGGTTGTGCTTATATTTCTTATTTT